CTTATCTATTTTTATATATGTATATACGTTTCTTGAGTACTGTGAAACAAATCACAACAGAAGTCAATGCTTTCTCCCAGATGCTGTTTGAGGGAAAAAAAAAAAAAAGAGAGTAGAAGAGGAAAGAGAAATAAGAGAATACCTTACACTCCAGATTATTTCTTATTAAAAATATCCTCAAACAAACAAACAAACAAACAAACAAACAAACCCTCACCAACCTATAGACTATTCGCTATTTTCTAATTCTTGTTCCAGCTATTTTCCATTTACACTGCTGTAGGCTAATGTAAGCCTCAATGACTCCCTTCTTCTTCCAGGACTGTCCTTTTGTACATAAAACGTTCTGTTTTCTATATAGTTTCCATAGATTATAGCTTCCACAGTTTATAGCTTCCACAACTCTGCCTCTCATCATGGCTAGAGTAGCAACAGAAATTTTCTGATGTTGTTTGTACTGTCTTATTCCTTTGAATAGTACATTTTTGATCTTGAAAATGGTTTCTGAATCAATGTTATCCTGAAGCTTTTCCTCTGCTCCCTGCACTTTGGCATGATATATTTGAAAAAGAATGGTAAAGAGGGATTTTAACACAAAATAATTTTCTTCCCCTTTAAGCTGTAAAGCTGTTCTAATAGCACTCTTTGTCTCTTTTTCCTCTTTTCATTCTTTTTCTTTGTATGCTTTCTCCTCCTGCATTTTGTTCAACCATAGCAGTAATGATTATCTCAAGCAATAACCTACTCCCTGCCCCAATTAATAATCTCAGTTTTAGCAGCTGCCATGAGATTTTTCTCTCCCCTTTACACTTAAAAAAAATAGGGATTAAGGTAAGTCTAAAGGTACACCATGCAACAAAAATCAAGTCCAAACCCAGTGGGAAGAATTATTTCCCCTAATTTACTCTCCTGTGGAGAAGGAAAGGGAAGCAGCATGGTCTGCAGAGCCTCTTTAAAAGTGACTGGGAAGATCAGGAATATTGAATCTATTGCTTTCAGAACCAGTGTAACTCCTTGACTGTGAGCAAAACACTGGACTGAAATATGAAAAGGCAGTGGCAGTAGATTTTTTTATCATTTTCTTTTATCGCTCATTTTGGACATCTCGTAACCTGTTAAAGTGGGTTTGACAAATGAGTGAAGACTGCACAATTGTTTGGAGCTCTCCTTGTGGGGGAGTCAAAGTACTACCTGCAGTTAGAAGTGGGAACAATTTGCAGAGGAAAAATTATGCTAATGTTAATGATGCATTTTAGAAATACACAGTACAAAGTCACAGGCAACTTTTTTTTGCATAAACTTTTAGTGAACATTTAAAGCCTAATTCAAGACACAGAATTTGTCAGAATTTCCTATTTTCTTAACCAGTGTTTGAATCCTCCCTACTGTACTGGCCTATTTTCAGCTCTTTCTTTCAGGTAGGTTTCATGTACCACTGTCCTACCTGTTCCCATGCAGACCAAAAAAACCCACTGCCTTTCTGTCTGTCCATCAAAAGTTATTGCAATGCTGTGTCTTAGTCACCCTGGGGAATACAGATCTGGAAAGCATCCTGACTATTTTCTTCACAATATAAAACTACTGTAGAAGACCCTCTCTCCTCAGATGAGTAAATGCCCCCACATCTTGTTCAGTTCTATTGTAGGATGGGAAATACTATCACTGTTGGATCTTCTAGTACTGTATAGATATTCTATTACCTTTTTCATCAGGGGTTTCCTATCTCCCAAAGATCACACAAACAACAGAAAGGCATGCCACTGTAAAAGGAATTAGAGCATTAATTTACCTAGGATGAATAAGAATTTCAGCCATGAACTAAAGGAACATTCCATTATTAGCAGGGTTTTTAATAGTTATCTATATACTATTTAACATTTTAGCTCTGTTTTGTACTTTCAAATTTGAAAAAGTAAATAAGTGCATTAGTAGAGAGGGACAAATGATGAACTCAGCGCTTCCTTTTCTATTTTCCATTATATTCCTTATCTAAAATGTAAGAGGATAGCATGGTTTGCATATTTATTTTATGGTATTTTAAAAAAATTCAACGAATTACAAAACTTCTGAGAAATTAAAAGTTATTAAGAAGTCTATAGTCTAAAAACTTTCACACTAGTAAGTTTCTTCTAGGAAGTCACACTAAAATTGATATTTACCTGTGTTTGTTTTCCTTCTTATGTAACTTCTGTTGTCACAAAGCAAACAATCTTCCTCTTTGATAGAAAATTTCCTTTCGATACAGTTCCAGTAAGTCACACAGGAAGGACCCTGATAAAGAGATAGCTAAATTCTTTTTGTTGTCTATTCTTTCATTATTTATGAAGAAAGGAGAATGCTAAGGGGACAACTGAAGCTCAGCTGAAGAGTTAAGAGTGGGAGGGAGTTAAGGAGGAGGATTTCACTTTCACTAACAGCTGCAGTGTTTGGGACAAGTAAACCTCACCTAGAAAGAAACCAATGTTGGTTTTTTTTCAGAATAGTTCTGGAAAATATACTTTGAAATACGTTATAATGCTAGAATGCAGATCTCTTAGTAGCAAAGAATGACTGTATGCAAGCTGTCATAATATCATAAAGCACAGAAAACAACACATCTTGCCTTCAGTAATGCTTCCCTAATGCCTAAATCCTATTTTTCATTGCACTCTAGATGATGCTGGAAGCTGGACTTCTCCCTCAGGGATGTCACAAACAAGGAGGTATGCATGTGACTAAAAGCCATCTTTATTTCTCAGATCAAGTCATGTATTAAATGAAGTTGATTAGGTCAGAGGCCAACTCTTGTAATATAAATTACTCTCACTGCTTAAACACATCAGAATTGGAGACACTGGTTGAGCTAGACACTCCTTAAAAAAGTGAACTGCACTTAAACTTTTCCCAAAACTCAGCAAAACTTTCCGATTTCATTTTTTTTTATTTTTAGTTAAGTGGGCCAAACTCAATTGCAGTTAACTGACTCTAATCAGACCAGATATACAATATAAGCTTTTATCTCAGCTCTTCTGAAACTTTACTTGGTCCTAGCCTATGTAAGAAATGTATTGGTTAAAGACCAAATAATACTTTCAAATTCAAACAACATAACCTAAAGCTCAGCTGAGAGTTTCAGAAGAGACCTTCTTTTACACAGAGAGCTTGTATTAAATTTTAGTCTCAGTGTGGACTGTATCGAATCAACAAAATGTTTATGGTGGATTTTCTTTCACTATCTCTTCCATTTATCTGTTACCGCCAGTAGGTTTCCCCAGATTGGACTAGTCCAAGCCTGAGTAAAACGGCTAAGAATAATTTTTCTTGCTGTATCAGCTATTGTGTTTTAGTCACTTGAGACTTATCGGGATCTATACTACTGACAGTTCTATAAAATTGTGGCTCCTGTACAAAAATTATCATTTATCTTTTACGCCTTGTGAAGCTAGCTGCTGTCTGGCTACTGTGCATAATGCTGAAATTGTAATGTGGCACCAAGGAGCTCAGTGCAATCAAACCACCCAAATGATCACCTTGCTTTTTGCCAGAGCTTTGTGCAAGGCTGTGCTGTTACCAGAACTGACACTACCCATTTTAAACAGAGGGGGTTTGTTTGCATTAGTGACATCACTGCAAGACCTCTTACATGACTGTGTAGTTGTCAAGTGGCCTGTAAACTGCTGCAGTTTAAACATAAACATACAGTGTAACCTTATTCTGGCAAGCTACAAAGGAACTTGAACAGTGTAATATGCTTTCATGGTAGATGAGATGCAGTACCATAATTTTGACTTTCATAGAATCACAGAATCATAGAATCAGCTGGGTTGGAAGGGACCTCCAAGATCATCAAGTCCAACCCTTGATCCACTACCGCTGTGGTTACTAGACCATGGCACTAAGTGCCACATCCAGTCTCTTTTTAAAAATCTCCAGGGACAGAGAATCCACTACTTCCCTGGGCAGCCCATTCCAATGTCTGATCACCCTCTCTGTAAAGAAAGTCTTTCTAATATCTAACCTAAACCTCCTCTGGCACAACTTGAGACCATGCCCTCTTGTCTTGCTGATAGTTGCCTGGGAAAAGAGACCAACCTCCACCTGGCTACAACCTCCTTTCAGGTAGTTGTAGAGAGTGATGAGGTCTCCCCTGAGCCTCCTCTTCTCCAGGCTGAACAGCCCCAGCTCCCTCAGCCCCTCCTCATAGGACTTCTGCTTGAGGACTTTACTAATGCTGATGTAGAAATAAAGCCTATACTTTTTTAAAATTGGATTTTCTTAACATAAGTACTGCATTTAAATACAGTGTCTGTTGTTTTCAAAAAAATGTTGAAATAAAACTCTACTATACTCTGTGTGTGAGGACAAAGCTATTGAAAAACAAATTAAAGCTATTACCATGCTGCTAATGTAGACAGAAGCAAGGAAACACAAACTACCAAAAATAAAATCTATCAAATAAAAATATAGAGAAAACTTAAAAGTTTCTCACTGGCTACTCTATATCTTTCTCTCACCCTTAGAAGGTTTCCTGCTTGATTTTCTTGAAATTAGTTCTTATAAGTTTTCTATTTAATGTATTACATTTATTTATGGTTATATAATAGCACCAGATGAAAACGCTAAGACCAAACAAAAGAAGAACAGGAGACATTTTAAACTGACAGCATTAATTACATGCTGTAAAAGTTCTAGCTTTCCAAGAAAAAGCAATTTCCAACTTCCAAAACCTTGCTATTATTTTTCATAAAACAAAAAAATCCAAGGAAAAGAAAATAAAAAATCTTAAAATTTTAGTGTACTGCTTTTGAATAACATTATCCACAATTCTAAGATTGACAGTCCATTGAATAAAAAAAAGATCTGTTTTACATAAAGCAAGAGAGTACAAAAGCACAGCTTTTGTAATTTTGGTAATATTGCAGTTCTACAAACATATTGCATAGTATGTGTAAGAAAATAGTTTCCATCTTTTTATATATATTTATATACACAAGAAAATCATTAACATGAAGGTTACAAAACAAAAATGGTTAGCAGACCTTTACTGAGTACTGATAGAAACAATATGACACTCAAACTTTAATCCAACTTTCATGTACATTACAGTAAAGCAGCTGATAACAATTCCAGTCTTGTTTGTGGGTTTTTAATTTGTTTTTTATTTAGCAATTATTTAGAATCTAAAAACAAAGTAAAACAAAAAAACCTAAAAAATACATTATGTTAGCAACCGAATATCTTAAACATCCTTCATTAAATCCTTCTAGACATTTATGGCTGTATCTTCAATCCAGACTTAATAGCCTCCTGCATTCAAAATGATTTAAAGTGAGTTCTGTTATCCAGTCAAGCCACTGTTTTGTAAGCAAACCAGTATAACTTCAGTTGAAAGAATGTCTTGGTAAGTTTTGGAATAATTACTCCTTTGTTTTTACCAAAAGATACCCCTATGCATGAACAGTAAGGTAATTGCAACACACTGACAAAAAATTTAAACTCTGGAAAAAATTGACAGTCTACAGCTCAAAATGCTGCACAAATCTAAACTATGTTACAATTTCATGTTGTAATTACAACTTCTCATCTCTTCATTCCAACAGAATTAGTAGAAACAGCAGTGTCATAGTGTTAGATATAATAGAAGTGTCAGTCTTTGGTCTTAACACTTAAACGATGAATGAACTGCTATACAAAACCATAACAGTGCTCAGAGAGGTTGGCTGATGCTTTTATTTTTCTCTTTTTTTTTTTTTAAACAAGAAAGAGACAGTATCCTATAATATCATGACACAGATTTTTTACAGGAGGTTAATCTATGATATATATTAAATTCATGTAGCCAATAAGGTCTTTTCATATATGTCATTGCAGCCATAAGGATGGTATTCTAAATTTTTAGTTCTGTAAGTCCATTAAATCACTTTTGCAATAATCCCTAAAATCATGTGGGCTAGAAATACTTTTTAAAATAAAAACTGATTTTTTTCCCTTCTTACAGTTTTTGATGAATCTAAAGTAAAACATTGATATTATGAAATTCACCACAATACTGAGACATTATGAGAACTTGTTATGCTACCTAACTGGTTGGTGAAGCTCTTAAATACTCTCTACTTCAGACTGAAGGGATTCCAATAAAGAATATCCTGACAGTGAAGAGCTATGTGGACTTACTTGATTTTGTGGAGTCCAATGCACCATCCACATATCTGCTCTGAGTTTTCTTCATACTAAGTGGGAAATTATTCCAGTCTTGTTGTTAAAATAAGCTAGTAACAAAAGATTTTTTTTTGTACCTGCCCATTCCACCCAAGTTGTGTAAAATTTATAAAGGTTGGGTCTTTCCATCCAGTGAGTAGAAACCTTTTTTATACGTATAACAGGTAAGTAATCACATAAGGTAAAAAGCAAACAAACAAGAATTTTTCGGAAGAGAATTCATGACAAAATATCTGCAAGCCATTCCATGGGTTTATTCAAGGGGAAAAAAAAGCCTTAGGCTATTTATATTGTAAGAAGCTATATTTTAATTCACCAAATAGATTAGTCACTATAATATGTTTGTTCATCTTTTCAGCAATAGGTGTATGTAGGTGTGCACAGATAATGACTACATATGTGCCCTCATACATATCTATATACTTTTCCTCCTGAAATACTATTTAACCATCACTCTCACACTACCATTCTATTACTTGTGTACATAAGAAAAAGACATCTATATCCCTACAGTTTTAAGTGTGTATTGTATGGCTACACTTTCTAATCTTTTATTGTCATCTTCTTTACCATCTGTATCTCTTTTTGCCCCTCTCACTAAAAATCCTTATGTTCTAATACATTTTCTTGCAATATTTTCTAATATATTTTCTTTCCAAGAATAAAATTCTCAAAAAAAAAAATAAAAATCAGCTGTTAATGGTATTCTTTTGAAGTGGTAAAATAATCAATTTGAAATCTTAATTTAGCTGGTAAAAACTGCAAATACAGAATTCTTGCTTTGGGGTGAAATTCACACCTCTGAAGAGGGCCAAAGATAAGGCAAGCACCAGTCAAGCCATTGACATGTCCTGTGTTGGTCTTCTGCACAGGAGTGAATTTCATCTGAAGTGAAAACAAAATCAACCTAATTAGGTGTTAATAAAATGCAAAGGCAATCATAGTATTAGTTTGCTCATTTTCATTTTTTTCTCTAAGAAAAAAAATTGCATACAAATACCCACCTTGCACTGTCTGCCTTGGCTTTAGAATTACTTTGCAAAAGCTGTCATTTCATTTATGATCTTACATTCAGAAGCCTCTAGAACTACAAGCTAGGTGATGTAATTTAAAGCATAGAATTAAAAAGCTCACTTACCTCATGTAATCAAGTCATCTTCCACAATAGGAAGCATTTTTATACTGTTTTACATTCCTGGGTTCTGCAAGTTTCAAGATACTCTTGTTAATCAATGTTGCGAACAAATTTACCAGCAGTACACCAAAGCATTTTTCATAATATTTCAATTACCAACCAAGCCAAACAAGTAAGAACATTGACACAACAAAGAAATCTGTCATGAGGTTTGTCAAAAAAGAGTCAGTAGTGAGCTTTGAGTGCAAATGTGGCTGCATATTTTAAACACAGACCTGATAAAGTCAGTGTAAGATCAACATACTTTTTAATACTGAATATTGTTTAATATGTGGTTTTATATATATTACTATAACTTTGAAACCTTAGCAGCAGATGATAAACAAAAGAGAATAATAAATGTGAATGTCATACAAGTTGTTAGTGCACTGCTTCTCAGTATCCCATGTTACATTAGTACCAATATTTTTACTGTGTTCAAACGGCAGCAGTTAGACACAGCCAGAAAATGGATAAGATGAACCTTTGAAGATTTCTCTCTTGGTTTTTATATTTGCCAATTACAAGTACCTTGTGAAGAGCAATACACTGATCAACAAACATATCAGAATTTCCTTCTTTACCCTGTTCTTCTTTTCCAGAAATTGTATGTTTTACTTAAAGCAATCACTTCACATGCAGTAGCCATGAAAATATTATATAAGGTCATTCAGATCTGACAAACAAGAGCATACGGTTTTTTAACTTTGAAAGGTAATATTGCTGAGCACTTCCAAAATTTACCTAGTGTATAAAACCCTAGACTTGGTAGACAAAGAGTAACAACACATATTTAAAGAAACCAAACTCAGGGAGGGATTCTGTCTCTTTTTGTATTAAAAATCATTTACTGAATTTGTGTAATAAAGCAAGCATCACACAATGCTTCAAAATTTTAAAATTCAGGGATAAAAGTTTACATCCAAAAAGATGAATGGAAAATTGTGCTTTTAGACAGTAAAGTTATTTATCATACAGAGGGAACCAATTAATCTCAACATCAGATTCTGGGCAAATTTATGTACTATATATATATATTTATGTGCAGTTCATATCCAGGTCCTGCAAAAATCTAAAACTATGTGCTTCACTTCAAGTAGCAAAGGCACCTGTGTTATTGTCCCTTTTGGAAAAAAAGGTGATTTTGTGTTCTAGGTTTCCTGATGAAGAATACATTTATTTCTGAGCATGTCACTCCCATCTCTATGTCGAGTGGCACCACACACCACAAGAGAAGGCAGCGCTGTATTCCTGCTTACACTGGAAGAAGTTGCTCTGCAGGCCTTTTGAAGCGTTGAACTTGTCACAAGGGAAACCGAGCAGAACTGTGAAGCAGAGGGATAGTAACAAAAGGCTATTCTGGTGTGAGGATAAAATGGAGTCATTCTAGCTCCACAAGCAGATGTTGCTACTGGATTGACATGTGGAGCCTGCTCCTGCTGGGGACAGGTAAAGTTTACCATTGGGACAGACGCAGAGCTCATAGATAGTCTGGCGAGGAGCTGAAGAGCTGGGTGAGGAGGAGGAGGAGAAGGAAGAAGAGGAGGAGGAGGAGGAGGAAAAGGACCCCACTGGTAGATTTCCCAGGCGGATTGTATCTGCATTTAAAAATATCTAGAAGAGGGAGAAAAAAAAGGTAAGTAAATTTCTTTCAGCATTGAGATATATTTTTAAAAAGTGTTTTGAAGGAGTCATGATTTTTTAGAAATATATTTAAAATTTTAGAAATATTTTATTAGAAGTATCAGAAAGATATATTAGAAGTTATTCTTTTTAGAAATAAAAAAGCTGTCAACATTTACTGTTTTTCATCTGTGTGTAGTTGTTTCCCATTAGTAGTCATTATTACAGTACATGTAATTACTTCACCCAACATGTTTATTCAGGTACAGACATTATCATACAAAAACATTTTGACAATATTCTCGAATAGGTTGAATTTTCACTTGTACACTAAAGTGTTCACTTGTATACTAAAGTGATTAAAATTTATTCATTTGTCGCAGCAGCATATCCTTGCTCTGGAATAATTTGTATTTTAATAAGTGTGAAGTGATATTAAAACACGTTCCCCAGCGTAAGCAGCTGAAATATGTGCTGAACTGTGCTAAATTTTAGGGGCTTAACAATAGCTACATCCAGAGAATAATTAAATAAGGTTACAGAGTCATACGCAAAATAAAGAGCTTCTTTGACCTAAATTAAGAGGAGAAAAGATTTCGGCTTAAAGTCTTATTAGGAAGGTCATCAAACTATTCCCATTTGTTTCTGAACATTGAATACGATTAAAAAATATTGTGGTTTTTTTTAATCTTCCATTAGAAATTACATGAGTCAGTATGAAACTATAGATATCAGTAGCATTCATGAATCTCTATTGAGTTCTGCAATATTTACACTTACATTTTCAGAAAACACCATGTCTTCCACTGCCACAAACAGATGAGTGTCCAGCTACTCAGAATTTGTGTTTTATTTATGGAAAGAGTAAATAAGAGCCAAAGTAAGATCAGTCAGTATCTCAGGAGCAGACTAGGGACTTCTAGAAAACAGGTAACAAATTAAAATGGCTTTAAGCTCTGCAGGTAAAGTTTGAAGCTTAGGAAAAGGTAAGTTCTTTAAATACTTAATAGTGGTTTTTATAGGGTATTGAAAATCAACAAAGCCAACTTGACACATTATACCAACATTATACGACAATGTTGGCAGTACATGTCAATAATCTGGAGAGATAAGGCATATATTGCTTTTTTTTCTACAGGAGACAAGTATTATTTTATTATAAAATTGGTAGTATATGGTAGCAATGCAGTGCAGAAGCATTACTGAGCCCCTGCTGTAGAGAAGTGAAGAATAGAAGGCTAGGAAAAAGCCAAAGTGGCTGGATAGAATCCTGTAGAGGGTCTGACACATAGTCATGTTTCCCTCCACAGCAGAAGCATTGGGATCATTGGAATCATTGAAGGTAATACAGTCTGATAGTAGATCCAAACAATATACCCTCCATCATAGCAAGTTCTCCAGCTCCCGAAGTAATATATTGTCATGGGAGGAAATTTTCACTAAAAGGGACAGGAAGGGAGAATCTCAGAGGCAAAGATGACATCTGCATGGCATAATGCCTGCTTTAATTCACATTGTGATTGATAGAGGAATTGATCACAAAACGCAGTAAATTATTAACTTTGCTCTGTAATTTATATAACAAAGAAATGATGTATTTAGACACGCATACACACAGTGCTGCTTGAAAAGTCCAGTATTATAGACCTGAGATAATTAGGAGTCATAACCCCTGCAGAAATAGTTTCAGTTCAAGAAATGTGAATGGTGTTGGGAACAATTTAATAGTGTTCTGCTAGAATTACAACTTAAAAAAAAAAAAAAGATTACACATGTAAAAACATTCAGCTTAGCTAGGAGTAAATGTGAAAATAACTATGGTAAACAGAATAAGGACAAAAATTTAATAGCAAACTAGAAGCTAGGAATTCGTAAAAGGTAGTAACGAAACAAAGGACATAATAATAATAAGAATGGAGTAACAAGTAATAAAAAGTACTCTTTCACTTCTCATATCAAGAATGAAGGGGATGGCAACAGGTCCATCATTAAAGTAGTAACAGTAGAGTTATCAATAGCATTGCACAAAAATCCAGAAGCATTCAACAGTGCAATCTCTATGTAAGTATATCTTTTATATTGAATAGTGCTCAGCATAGTTCTGTACTTGGAAAAAGATCAAAAATTGATGTCAGAGCATGACTGTGATAAAATACTTTCAATTTCAACAGTAACTCAATAGGATATCAAACAGGAGCCAGTAATGTCATATACTTTTAATCTACAGTTCTTGATAACTTTTAACAACTAGAGCTCAAATTTAAAAAAAAAAAAAATGAGTAGCATTTTGGACTTTTAATATTGATTTTCAGCAAGCCCTGTGTCATGGCTTAACCCCAGCCAACAACCATGTACCACACAGCCAAGTGCTTACTCTTCCACCAGTGGGGTTGAGAAGAGAATCAGAAGGGTAAAAGCTGGAAATCTCATGGGTTGAGACAAAGACAGTTTAATAGGGAAAGCAAAAGCCACATATGCAAACAAAGCAAAACAAGGAATTCATTCACTGCTTCCCAAGGGCAGGCAGGTGTTCAGCCATTCCCAGGAAAGCACGGCCCCATCATGTCTAACAGTGACTTGGGAAGACAAACACCATCACTTCAAACGTCCCCCTATGCTTCTTCCTTCTTCCCCCCACTTTATATACTGAGCATGATTCCATGGAATATCCCTTTGGTCAGTTTGTGTCACCTGTCCCAGCTGTGTCTCCTCCCAGCTTCCCATGCACCCCCAGCCTCCTTGCCAGTGTGGTAGTATGAAAAGCACTGCCTAGCAATTACAAAATCATCTCTATATTATCAACCCTGTGTTCAGCATAAATTCAAAACACAGCCCTGTACTAGCCACTGTGAAAAAATAATCTCCATCCCAGCTAAAACCAGTACACCTTGATATAACTGCAATATCAAAAAAGGTAAGAAAAAGACTATTTCTATGCTTTTATTAAAAAAAATGGAAGCTGGAGACATTAGAATATTATATATAAAAAAACCACTTCAGTGTAGAAGACATACATGTAAGAAAATCCAACAACAATACAAGATGAACTCTGTACTTTTGGCAGTGTGTGACTGGCCATTTTAACAGCTTAGCTTCAGTGGTGATGGGGAAGAATCATAAGAAATCTGTAAAACAAAATTAAATGGCTTCTAAAATACATGTGTTGATTCAAACAAAAATTAACTAAAAAAAATCAGAAGGCCTATGTGCCGAAGATCTAGATTAAAATCTCTTGAATGTTATTATTTTTATGAGCTCAATATGTTTTGTGTTTTTTTACATGAGGACAGCTATGCTTCTGCAACCCGTCATTGCAGAAGTTCTGTAGTGTACTGCTCCAAGACTTTATTCCAGGGTACCTTACTCTGATGTGCATTACCATACAATGGTGTCTGAGAAAAATTGAACTGGCTTCTTGTGAGGGTGATATCGGATGCAGTGAGTCCAATTTAATCAGACTCCTATAGCTACACCCTGGTGAAGCCTGAGATGAAGAGGATTAATAAAGATGGTTTAATGCCATTATTAAAATCTCCCCTGTACCTGTGCTGTCAAGGTTATAAATAAAAGACTAAATTTAGAGATGCAACATTGCTATTTATTAGTTAACCAGGCATCCAAATATATCATCATAGTAGCCCAATACATAAGGAGTTTCAGAGAACCTAGTGAATATTTGAGGATATACTCTTTCTTGTCCTTCAATCTGCTAAAAACTGAAATTCATGGTTTAAAGTCCTCCAACATCAGCAAAATTTGAACTACTTACCATTTTATGCCTGATCTTATCAGGTGTTCAAACAGAAGGGAAGAAGTGGCATGACAAAAAATTAAACAGTATTATGTTCCTAGAGAACATTGTAGCTAGATGACAGCAGTTAATGAAGTGCCAGTGTACATGGTCTTTCTTTAATCTGTTGTGATGTGAAAGGTACTAGATAAGCCATTTAATACTTCACATTCATCGAGGCCATGCAGGCTAGTCATGTTCTTTTTGGGAGTCTCACACCTCAGCAGATAAATGGCATGAATGAAAGCTTTTATCCATTCTTGAAGCATTGTGGGAGATTGAGAAATTACAAAACTGAAAAGGCAGCAGCTACTCAGAGTAATGTTATTTCATAGAGAGCAGAGCACTGAGCAGCATCATCCCCACTAAATACTTAAGGTTTAGAAATCCCAGATCACTGCTTTGTCCCGTGCATCTTAGTATGGAGAAAAATACATTAGCCCTACAATATTTAAAAGTAGATCTGATTTCTGGCTAATTAAAGCAGCAAACTGAATCAGCCTGTAAGGCATAGGATAGGAACTGCACTCTTTCTATATGCACTTTTTGTTAATGAAGATCTGCAAGTCACTTGCTCATCAGACTGTATTGTTAATCTGAACAGTGAGAGGGAGAGGAAAGTAAGTCAGAAATATAGATTATTTACAAACCAAAGAACTAAATTGAAGGAGCAAACTATCAGTGGCTAAGATACAGGCATGAGGTAAAAAATCAAATATTCTTACAAGCTGTACAGAGATACAAACCTGCCAGGGGTAAAAGTTCTCCAATGGGTCTTTGCCTAAATCATCTCAAGAGGGCAGATGATAGGTTAAGTTGATAAATCTAAATGAAAAAGCTGGGATTTATAGGCATTGAAAAATTTTCTGTATTCATGTACTGTTTGATTAAACAGGTAACTCTACAGGGCTGCAGAGGCATATTTCAGGGCTAATGCATATAAGAAATGGCAGTATACTGGAGGAAATGTGAAAGAAAAGGAGGAAATGTGAAAGAGAAGAAGGAAATCTGAAAGGTGGGTGTCCATCAACCAGTATGAGAGGACAGTGTAATGACTTCTCACTAAATAAATCTTTTGGATTTCCTTAGAAATTCAATTAATCTGAATTAAAGCAATACAAGGTTTTTTCCTAGTCTTTTTGCTCTTCTGCATGTGCTGTCAGAAGCGTCACACAAAGAGGATTATACAGATTAGGTCACT